GGCAGCCATTGCTGACAGGAAGGCAGAGCTCCCTTGCCCCACCAGTCATCACAGACCCTGGTAGAAGTAGTGAAGACAACTCCGACAACACAGTAGGGTCAGCTGCCGTTAATAATGAGGAGGCAGCGATGGAAGTTAACGAAACTGGTCCTCCATTATGCTGTTCACCTTAACCAAGATGCGCAGGTCACAGGGAAGACACCCACCTCTCCAGTGGTTCTGTGGCATTTTCCTCAATTTAAGCAATGTCACGGGTAAGAGAAAAGAAAAACCTGTGCTATAGCACCATCTACGGGAAAACAAAAGAAAGTAACCTACCAAGCCACCTACTCAATTAAGAGCAAAACAGTATCTCAACAAGAAAAGCATTCCCTTCCTCAAATGCACAGACCTAGAAACATGAAGAACCATGAGCAATCAAGGTAACAAAGAAGCACAGAATGAAAATGAAAAGTCTCCAGAAACCAAACTCAAAGTCGTGGAAGACTGCAGTTTAAATGACAAGAGAGTTTGCCCTAACCGGTTTGGCTCCGAGGATACAATGTCTGCATGTATCTTGGTTTTGGCACATACATCCCCAGTGGGGGACTTGCAGGAGGCAGATGATTGATGTTTCTCTCTCATCGATGTTTCTAATCCTCTATCCCTCTCCCTTCCTCTCTGTAAAAAATCAATAAAATATATATTTTTTAAAATAAAATAAATAAAAATAAATGACAGAGAATTTGAGATTGCAGTTATGAAGAAACTCAAGGAAGTACAAGAAAGGCCACTTGATGAGCTCAGGAATAAAATTAATGAACAAAAAGAACATCTTACCAAAGTAATTAGAATTATAAAAAAAGAACCAAATAGAAATTCTGAAGTTGAAGAACTCAATAAATGAGATGAGATGATGAATGCATTAGAAAGCATTGGCTATAGAGCAGACCATACGGAACAGAGATTCAGGAAGCTCAAAGATAGGAACCTAAAAATGAACCAGGAGGAAGGAGAAAGAGAACTAAGAGCTACCATATGATCCAGCAATACCTTTTCTGGGTATCTCTCTTAATAATTTTAAAACAATTTTTTGGTAAAGATATATGTACCCTTATGTTTATTGCAGCTTTATTTACAACTAGAGGCCCAGTGCATGAAATTTGTGCACTGATAGGGTTCCTAGCAACTGCTGGCTGCCAGCCAGGGCCTTCCTCTCTTCCCCCAGTCGGCCTGCCCTCTGGTCGAACTCCTGGAAGAACTTCAGTTGAGAGGACAATTTGCATACTATGCTTTTATTCTATAGGATAGCTAAGTCATGAAACAACTTCCACAGATGATTAAAGAAGATGTGGAGAGAACCAAGATGGTGGTTTAGGTAAATACCAGCACTTGCCACCTCCTACAACCACATCAAAATTACAACTAAAATACAGAAAAAAATCATTCAGAACCACCTGAAATCTGGTTGAATGTTAAGTCCTACAACTAGAAAAGTAAAGAAGAAAGCACATCAAGACTAGTAGAAGGGGCAGAGGCATGGAATGGACTTGTCCAACATCCATGTGTGGTGTTTTTTGAATTGGGAGGGATATCTCCAAGGCCTCTGGCGGGAAGCAAGGGGCTCTAGCCCCACACAGAGTTCCAGAGCTGGGAAGAGAAGTCCCTGTAACTTCGGGCTGTAAAAATCAGCAAGGATTGTGACTGAGTTACACAAAGGCTACTGGAGTCTCAGATAGCTCCTCTTAAAAGGCTGGCACATGTACTCACATGGTCCCACTTCCTCTGAGCTACAGCGGCAAGTAGCATTTGGGGGGAGGAGGGGTGTCCAAGGGCATACAGAGAGGACCTCGATTGTCTGGCATCAGGGCAGGAACGTGGTGGCTGCTTTCTTCCAGCAGAGTGCTCACAGGGGTGATTGTTCCTATGCTGGGACCTCCCCATCATGACAGAGCTGACTGGCAGCCATATCTGAGTTTCCATCAGCATGGCTCACACTGTTTGCTCTGCCCTGGTGATTCCTTGAAATCCCACCCCATCCAATTTGCAGCCCCAACCAAGCAGTGACTTTTCCATAAGTCCTGGCTCAGGCTTCAGACTTTTCTAAAATATATCAAACAAGCAGCAGCTGGTGTCAGCATGCCCAAATCTATCAATAAGAGGCCCAAGACCTGGCACTAGCAATAAAATGGCAATACATACATATCTATCAACAATGGAATGTAAAAATCAAAATAAATGAACAAGAAATCTAATGAACAAAATAAACTGATGAATAAATTAGAGTCAGAGGCATGGAAACATAAAACAGACTGAAAAATCCCAGAAGGAGGTGGGGAGGGAGGGTTGGCAATAAATTAACCAAAGATATTATATGCATATATGCGTTACTTGTGGACACAGACAATAGGGTAGTGAGGCAGGGTGGAATAGGGTGGAGAGGGTCAATGGAGGGGAAAAGGGAGATATCTGTAATACTATTAATAATAAAGATTTTTTAAAGATATAGTACATGGATAATGGAATAGTTAGCCATAAAAAAATGAGATATTTCTACTTGTGACAATATGAATGAATCTTGAGATTATTGTGCTGAGTGAAATAAATCAGATGAAAAAGGACAAGAAGTGTATTATTTCACTCTTATGTAGAATATAAAAAACAATAAATGTATAATAAACAAACAAAACTCATAGCTACAACATAAACAACAGAAAGGTGGTTACCAGTGCAGAAAGAGGGTGAGGGGAGGATGAAGAGGGTAAAGGGGATCAAATACCTGGGGGTAGAAGGAGGCTAGGCCTTTAGATGTCGTATTCTGAACTTGTACACCTGACGTCTCTATGCTGTTAACCAATGTCACCCCAATGCATTTTGTTTTAAAAAACTAGCCCACTTTCAGTTAAGATTTCTCTTTTTACAACATGTCAAAATCAGTTAGAAATCCTGGATTCTTTTGGGGAACAACTAATCTATTAATAGAACCCCTAGACATGGGCCCCCCAGGGGGTCTGTTGGGTCTGGGCATGGTATGGGGGTGGGGAGGGCGGAGGGGACAGTTGTGAAAGAGCTTGGGGTTCAGAGGGACTCTGCACAGCATTGGAAAAGTGACCATTCCTTCTGAATGAAAAATTCATAAAATGGGAGAAAAAAGGGAGACATATGTAACACTTCCAACAATAAAGAATTATTTTAAAAAGACAATCTGAAAAAACTACATTCTGTATTATTCTAACTATATGACATTCTGGAAAAGGTAAAACTATGGAGGTGGTGAAGAAATTAGAGGTTATGCCGAAACTGGTTTGGCTCAGTGGTAGAGCGTCGGTCTGCGGACTGAAGGGTCCCAGGTTCGATTCCGGTCAAGGGCATGTACGTTGGTTGTGGGCACATCCCCGGTAGGGGGTGTGCAAGAGGCAGCTGGTCGATGTTTCTCTCTCACTGACGTTTCTAGTTCTCTACCTCTCTCCCTTTCTCTCTGTAAAAAATCAATAAAATATATTTAAAAAAAAGAAAAAGAAATTAGAGGTTGTTAGGGGTTAGGGGTGAAAAATGGATGACTAGACAGAACACAGAAGATATTTAGGGCAGTGAACTATTCTGTATGATGCTGTATTGGTTGATACATGTCATTATAAGTTTGTCCAAATCCATAGAATGTACAACACCCAGAGTGATCTTAACATAAGCAAGGATTTTTTAAATGTGATGTGTCCTTGTAGGTTCACGAGTTGTAACAAATGCACCATTCAGGTACAGAATGTTGATAATGGGGAAGCTAAGCATGTGTGGGGACATGCTATATAAAGTAAATCCCTGTACCTTCTACTTTATATTGATGTGCATATAAAACTGCTCTAAGAAAGAGAGAGAGAGAGAGAGAGAGAGAGAGAGAGAGAGAGAGAGAGAGAGAGAGAAAGGGAAAGAGAGAGAGAGAGAGAGAGAGAGAGAGAGAGAGAGAGAAAGAAAGAAACAAACAAACAAACAAACAAAGAAACAAACAAAGAAACAAAGAAAGAAACAAAGAAAGAAACAAAGAAAGAAACAAAGAAAGAAACAAAGAAAGAAAGGAAGAAAGAAAAGAAAGCCCTGCTGGAGTGGCTCAGCAGATTGAGCCTGGCCCCATGGACCAAGAGATCCAGGTTCAATTCCTGATCAGGGCACATGTCCGAATGGCAAGCTTGATCCCCAGTGCTGGGCATGCAGGAGGCAGAAATTGGTGGGTCTCCCTCATCTATGCCTCTATCTCTCCCTCTATTTTCCTCTATGAAATCAATAAAAATACATTTTAAAAAACAACAACACACACCAAATACTGCATGATTCCAATTCTATGTGGGGGGTGGGAGGAGGGTACAAAGTTTCAGATTTGCAAGATGAAGAAGTCCTGGAGATCTGTTTTACAACAACGTGAATATACTTAACCCTAATGAACTGTGCTCTTAAAAATACTTACTATGCCCGAAATCGGTTTGGCTCAGTGAGCGGCAGCCTGCAGACTGAAAGGTCCCAGGTTTGATTCCGGTCAAGGGCATGTACCTTGGTTACGGGCACATCCCCAGTAGGGAGTGTGCAAGAGGCAGCTGATTGATGATTCTCTCTCATCAATGTTTCTGACTCTCTATCCTTCTCTCTTCCTCTCTGTGAAAATCAATTTTATATATATATATATATATATATATATATATATATATATATATATATATATTTTAATACTCTGGTTTCTCTTCAGATCGCATAAATCTTTTGCCTTTTTAATAAAATATATTTTTTTAAAAAAATACTTACTTTGGTCAATTTTATGGGGCAGTGAGGTCCTGGGGCAGGGGGCAAGCTGGATGGGGTCAATTTTTAAAATAAAGGAAAAAACAGCATTGGGAACCAAAAAAGTCAAAATGAAGTGTTTGAATATGCTTAGCCACGAGATATAACATTATTACTGCCAACTCTGAATTCCTGCTTGTGCAGGAATCTATGTTTACTAAACATATAAAAATCTTGTTCTATTTGCCTCTTCTTAGGCATCATCACCCACGTGACCAAGCCGGTGAATGATATGATGAAACTATCCTGTGGTTACAACATCTCCACGGATGAACTGATAAGAGTTCGTATCTATTGGCAAAAAAATAATGATATGGTTCTGAGTGTCATATCCGGAAAGGAGAAATCGTGGCCCGCGTACAAGAACCGCACCACAGTGAACATCATCAGCAACCCTTTCATTATGATCCTGGGTCTGCGTCCGTCAGACGAGGGCCTGTACTCCTGTGTCATTCAGAAGCCTGAAAAAAAGGGAACTTACAAGTTGGCACACTTGACTAAGGTGATGTTATCGGTCACAGGTCAGTGAAATTTTCTGATTTACTCTAAGCCTGCAGGCGCTTCATGCCCTTTGAGATATACTTCTGTTGAATTAGGTTAAAATTTTCTCCAAGAGGGATGTGTCTCATTTTATTCCTTAGGGTTAAGTGAATCTCTACAGTAAGCCCCAATTGGTTTCTCATTATGTCCTGGAAATACCTGATAGTGTGCATTTCTTGCACTTGGACAATTTGAGTTTGTGACCATCATCCTGGGGCACTAGATTGACCCAAATGCTTTCTGAGTCATTAGGGGACATGTTTAATTTGATGTAACTATACTACTAACTGCTCTTGATCTGGTAATATATTTGTGTGAAAGTATGTTGAGAGGTATAAGAGCAATTGAGGCATAAATATTTTCCAAGTACTATTTGAATGTCTGTAACGATGACTAGCGTACTATTGTTATATGTACTAGAGGCCCAATGAATGAAATTCATGCAAGGGTCTTGGCCCTTGCAGCCCTGGCTTCATCTGGAAGGTGGTTTGGCTATCCGGTCTAATTAGCATATTGGCTTTTATTATTATAGATTGTGCATTTGAAGCTCTTATCTAGCAGTCATCCCTACAAAGTTAGATGTTAGAGAACTGAAAGCATAATTTATACCTGCCACAGGAAAGAAAATTAATTCATGAATCAAAGCCCTATTTATATATCTACCATGAAGGGTAGACATTTCTTATCTTGGGTAGAAAGGAGCTTGGGCTCACAGGTGATAATACTGGAGGACACTGAGGTAGCCTTGAGAAAGACAACCTGGGCCGTGTCCTCACACTTAACTTGCAAACACATTTCTTTTTCTTTCTGGATGGTTGAGGTTTTAATGGGAACCAAACCTCTTAATAAAAGATAATCCTGCCCTAACCGGTTTGGCTCAGTGGATAGAGCATCGGCCTTCAGACTGAAAGGTCCCAGGTTGAATTCCAGTCAAGGGAATGTACCTTTGTTGTGGGCACATCCCCAGTAGGGGGTGTGCAGGAGGCAGCTGATCAATGTTTCTCCATCAATGTTTCTAACTATCTTCCTCCTTTCTTCACTGTAAAAAAATCAATAAAATATATTTAAAAATAAAAGATAGCCGAAACCAGTTTGGCTCAGTGGTAGAGCATCGGTCTGCAGACTGAAAGGTCCCAGGTTCAATTCCGGTCAAGGGCATGTACGTTGGTTGCGGGCACATCCCTGGTTATCGAAGTTTCTAGCTCTCTATCTCTCTCCCTTCCTCTCTGTAAAAAATCAATAAAATATATTTTAAAAAATAAATAAATAAATAAATAAAAATAAAAGATAATCCTATCTAATAAACAGGTAATATGCTAATTGACCCTCACACCATCACAAAGATGGCAGCACCCAGGGCCAATAAGGAGGGAATATGCTAATTGACTTCTTTTCCCTCAAAGATGGCAGAGCCCACAGCCACAAGATGGCTGTGTCCAGGCCCCTCAGCCTGCTGGGGTGTCAGGCGCTTGGCAAAACCAGGTCTGCCCCTATGAAGGCCCAGCCCCTCCACGCCTGCCTCTAGAGTCCTCCAGTTCCCTCAGCCACCCAGGGACAGCCTGAGGTGCAGGCAAGCCTTAAATGTTGGCTGACCAGCTGCCCAGGGCCACCTGAGGCTCAGGTAACCAGTGCCAGATGAGGCTTGTACTGCCAGCAGTGGCAGCAGCAGAGGTATGATAGGGCATTGCTTTCCCCTGATTGCTGGGTTACCTCCTGCTCCTAACAGTTCCTGGACTGTGAGATGGAGCAGGCCAGGATGAGGGAGCCCCCCTCCAGTGCATGAATTTTCTGCACCGGGCCTCTAGTATTATAATAATTATGTATGGTGCCAGGTGGGCTTTAGATTTATTGAGGGGAATCACTTACTAATTATATGGATGTCTCACCTGAACTAATATAATATTGAATGTCATGTGTAATTGAAAACATACAAAAAGAAAATAAACAACAAAAAAGATAATGGCCCAGGCTGGGTGGCTCAGTTGGTTGGTCTTTGAAGTATGCCATTGGTATTTTAATGGGGTTGCATTGATTGCTTTGGGTGGTATGGACATTTTAATGATGTTGATTCTACCAATCCATGAACATGATATGTTCACTTTTGTTTATCTCTTCCTCCATCTCTTTACTCATTGTCCTGTAGTTTTCAGAGTACAGGTCTTTTATTTCCTTAGTTAAGTTTATTCCTAGGTATCTTATTTTATTTATTTATTTTTTTTTTGTACAATAGTAAATGGGGTTTTTTTTTTAGTTTCACTTTCTGTCAGTTCATTATTAGTGTATAAAAAGGCCATAGATTTCTGGGTGTTAATTTTGTATCCTGTTACATTGCTGAATTGATTTATTAGGTCTAGTAGTTTTTTTGATGGAGTCTTTGGGGTTTTCTATGTATAGTATCATGTCATCTGCAAATAAGGACAGTTTTACTTTTTTTTTTTTTTTTAATTTGGATGCCTTTTATTTCTTCTTCTTATCTAATTACTATGGCTAGCACTTCCAGTACTATATAGAACAGGAGTGGTGAAAGTGGGCATCCCTGTCTTGATCCCATTATTAGAGGAAATGAGTTTAGTTTTTGCCCACTGAGTATGATGTTGGCTGTAAGTTTGTCATATAAGTCTTTTATTATGTTGAAGTATGATTCCTCTATTCCCACATTATTGAGAGTTTTTATCAGAAAAGGGTGTTGGATTTTGTCAAATGCCTTTTTTGCATCAATTGATATAATTATGTGATTTTTGTCTCTCAATTTGTTTATGTGATGTATCATGTTTATTGATTTGTGGATTTCATACCAGCCTTGCATCCCTGGAAAAAATCTCACTTGGTCATGATGTATCAACTTTCTAATGCCATGCTTGATCCAATTTGCTAGAATTTTGTTGAGGATTTTTGCATCTATGCTCATCAGGGATATTGGCTTGTAATTCTTTTCCTTTGGAATTACGGTAATGCTGGCTTCATAGAAAGAGTTTGGAAGTGTGCCTTCCTCTTGAATTCTTTTAAAATAATATAAGAAGGAGAGGTTTCAGTTATTCTTTGAATGTTTGGTAAAACTCCCCTGTGAAGCCATCTGACCCTGGGCTTTCATTTGCTGGAAGTTTTTAGATGACTGCTTCAATTTCCTCCTTAGTTATCACTCTGTTGAGATTTTTTTTTATTCTTCTTGGTTGAGTTTTGGAAGATTGTATTTTTCTAGGAATATGTCAATTTCCTCTACGTTGTTTAATTTGTTGGAATAGAGTTGCTCAAAGTATTTTTTTTTTTTTTTTTACAATCCTTTATATTTCTGTGGGGTCTGTTGTTATTTTTTCTCTTTCATTTCTGATTTCGTTTATTTGGGTCCTCTCTGCTTCTTGGTGAGACTGGCTAGAGTTTCATCATCTTTTTTTTTTTTTTTTAATATATATTTTATTGATTTCTTTTTTGCCCCCCTCCCTCCCTCCCACACATCCCCTCCCTCCCCAGAGTTTTGTGTCCATCATCATCTTGTTTATCCTTTCAAAGAGCCAGCTCTTGGTTTCACTGATCTTTTTTTTTTCTCTCTTTTTTTTTTTTTCTGGTCTCTATGTCATTTATTTCTGCTCTGATCTTTATTATCTCCTTACTTCTGCTCACTCTGTGCCTTTCTTGTTGCTTTCTTTCTAATTTTTTAAGTTGTAGAGGTAAATAATTTGCTACCAGCTTTTCTTCTTTTTTGAGGTAGTAATGCTATGAACTTCCCCCTAAATGCTATGTAATGCTATGAACTTCCCCCTAAAGACTGTTTGCACTGTATTCCATAGGTTTTGGATTGCTGTGTTTTCATTGTCATTCATTTCCAGGATGTTTCTAATTTCTTCTTTAATCTCTTTGGTAAAAAGAAATATTCTTAATGTCAGCTACTAGTGCAAGGATTTGATCTTATAGGATACATTACAAGGGTAGGAAATATTAATATCAATTAAAAATGGCTCAGGAAAATGTCAGACTTAATTTAGAAACAAGGTTAATTCAAAAAAGAGAGGTGACTTCACTTCTAGCCAAATCCAAATTTTTTCTTTTCTTGGCAACTATAAGCACTCATGATCACTTGCCCTTTCTCTTATTATTCACAGTGCTACCAGGCAGCCCTAGAACTTTCACCTGACAACCTGATGTAAATGAGGAGACTCATCTGAGAGAGGGCAAATTTAAGATGCACATAAATCAGTCTACTAACTGACTTTCTCTTGTGTCAGGCTTTGTGCTATGTAATTTATCTTAATGATGTCATTTAATTTCTTCAATCCTGCAAGATAGTAATTATTACCTGCATCTCACAGTTGAGCAAGCTAAGGCTGAAAGTGGTTAAGTGATTGGTCCAAGGTTAAAAGGCAAAACTGGGTTTAAAAACTGCTCTTGATTATCACATTGCCATCATTGAATCTCTTTGGGACTCAGAATTCTGAAAATAAAACTATGGAATATAGGGAGATTGATTCCCCACATTCATGCTGAAAAGTAGAAATGTTTATATTTTTTAATTGATTTTAGATAGGAAAGGAAGAGAAGAGAGATATAGAAATAACAATAATGAGACAGAATCATTGATCGCTGCCTCCTATATGCCCTTTATTGGGAATCAAGCCTGCAACCCAGGCATGTGCCCAGACCAGAATTGAACTGTGACCTCCTGGTTCATAGGTTCTGCTCACCCACTGAGAAATGACGGCTCGGCAGTAGAAATTCTTTAAGTCTAATAATAAATGAACAAGAGGTGAGGAGAGCTTTCTTCTGTGTTTTCCGCAGTCATTCCACTGTGCTTTGATTTGTATATTCTTTAGTTACTTTTTTATTTTATTCATTCATTCATTCATTTATTTACTTATTTATTTTGGTTAATCCTCACCTGAGAATATTTTTTCCATTGATTAGAGAGTGGAAGGGAGGGGGAGAAACACACAGAGAGAGAAAAACACTGATGTGAGAGAGACACATTGATTTCTATGCACTTTAGTATCTTATTGGGGCTCAACTGTACAAATGCAGGAGTGCCTCCCATCTCTTGGGGGAATGCTGGGAAGGCCTCTCTGTCCTATTAAGGCATTTCAGAATTGCAAGAGGGTTAGTGAAGGCTAAGGTTCAATAGCACAGGCTTACTAGTGTACAATTTGGTCAGAGGAATACCTGATTAAAAGACTACTTTTGAAAAAAAAAAAAAAAAGAGAGTGCTAAACAAACTCTAAGAAAGTAGTTACCTCAGGTGTGGGAAGGAGACAGGACAGCTGAGACTACACAAGAATATTTACATAAGTTACCATCAGGGTGCTGGTTCTCGAGTTGGCTGATGGATTCATAGGTGTTCACAGACAAATAAAAGAGAGCCACTTTGTGACTTTAAAAATCAGGATGAGAGGAAAGGAAACAAAATACAAGAAAAAAAGACAAGGAAAGGGAAGGCTCTGGTACCTGAAAAACTTGGATTCAAATACTAGTTCTGTCACTTACTGTCTATGATTAGACCACAACTTCATTATTTATAAAACTAGAGGCCCGGTGCACAAAATTTGTGCACTCAAGGGGAGGTCCCTTAGCCCAGCCTGTACCCTCTCAGAGTCCAGGAACCCTGGGGGGATGTCCAACTGACTAAGCCATCAGTAGGACATCCTTAGCTCAGCAGCAGAGGCAGGAGAGGCTCCCACTACGGCCGCTGGTCTCGCCATCCATGAGCCCAGCTTCTGGCTGAGTGTTACTCCCCTTGTGAGGAAGTGCACTGACCACCAGGGGACAGCTCCTGCGTTGAGCATCTGCCCCCTGGTGATCAGTGCATGTCATAACAATCAATTGTTCCACCATTCAGTCGATTTGCATATTAACCTTTTATGCCTGTGGGATCAGGCCAAAAACTGGCTCTCCAACATACCCCGAGGGGTCCCAGATTGTGAGCGAGTCAAGGGACCCCACTGGTGCACAGTTGAGGCCAGGGAGGGATGAGGGGGGTTGGCCAGCTAGGGAGGGACTAAGGGAGAGCTCAAGGGCATGTCTGGCCTGTCTCGCTCAGTCTTAATCTGCCAGACCCTAGCAACAAGCTAACCTACTGTTAGAGTGTCTGCCCTCTGGTGGTCAGTGCATGTCATAGTGAGTGGTTGAGTGGCCTTAGCATGATTAGCATATTACACTTTGATTGGTTGAACAGATGACCAGACAACTGGACATTTTGCATATTAGGCTTTTATTATATAGGATGAAAAATTATATTAGATTAAACAATATGAAATTAGCAATATTTGATTTTATTTATTTTTTGTCTACAATCTACTTCTCAGGTTGTTGTAAAGACAAAAATGAGGAAAAGTCCAGACCTAACAAGCATTAAAAGCTCAATAAATGTTGCGTGTTATTTTTCTCTTCATTTCTTACAAATGTGTCAATATTTCTTCACATGAAGCTACTTCTCTTTTCTCTCATAACTGCCTTCCTACCTCTATCATAAGTGATGAAGAGCATCAACCTGTGAACCAAAGGGTCCTAGGTTCGATTCTGGGCAAGGGCACATACCTTGGTTGCAGGCTCCTTGGGTCCTGGTCCTGGTCAGAGGCAATCAATTGATGTGTTTCTCTCATGTTGATGTTTCTCTGTCTTTCCCTCTCTCTTCCATTCTCCCTATAAATCAATGGAAAAATATCCTGGGGTGAGGATTAAAATAATAATAATGATGATGATGATGATGATGATGATGATGATAAATAATAAATAATAATAATAATAATGATAAAAGTTTTTTTTAAAAGTGATGAAAAATTTTGAAGTTGTAAATTATATATAATTTTTGGATTCTTATTAAAACTAGATACTTTATTAAAAATACTGTGGGCCCAGTGCATGAATTCCTGCACCTTGAAAGGAACTGTGGGCTGCAAGGCTGCAGAGGGCACAGGGGCTGGTCTTAGCTCATCCTCTGTACCCCCGCCCAACGCCTCCCACTGCTGCCCCCGTCCCCTGTCTGCTGGCAGTCCTGCTCCCACTGCCACTGCTCTCAGGTGCTGACAGCAAAGACCCCACTCACACCTGCTGATAATGCAGAGCGATTGGGACCGTTGCCAGCAGCGGGTGCAAACAGGACTGGCACCGTCAGTGGGTACAAGCAGCGGCTGTTGCCCCAATTGCCCCTCAGGAGCAGGGGGAGATGGAGAAGCCCTCAGGGGCAGTCGGGGCTTGCAGCCACTGCTCGCACCTGCTGACCTGCTGACAGTACTGAGCAATTGGGGCCAGTGCCAGCAGCAGGGGTAAGTGGCAGGCAGGACCATGGCATGTAGGAGCAAAGAATTTTCAGTAACCACCAGAGGCTTGCCATAATGACAGCAACTGGCACCCCACCTTGGTCTGGTTTCCCTGCTCACCTGCTCCACCATCCCATCACGACCAACACCCGCCAAGATCCACACATGCCTCCTGGTGGTCAGTGCATGTCATAGCAACTGGTTGTTCGGTTATTCAGCTGTTTGGTCTATTACCATATTAGCCTTTTATTATATAGGATAACAACTCCCAAAGGGAAAAAATAAAAAATATCACACACACACACACACACACACACACACACACACACACAGAGATATAATGGTATATACTTATATGCTTGTTCTTTCTTTAGCTGACTTTCATGTCCCAAATATAACTGAGCTTGGAAACCCAGCTACAAACATCAAAAGAATAATTTGTTCAACCTCTGGAGGTTTTCCAAAGCCTCACCTCTCCTGGTTGGAAAAGGGAAAAGAATTAAATGCCATCAGCACAACAGTTTTCCAAGACCTTCAAACTGAGCTCTACACTATTAGCAGTGAACTGGACTTCAATGTGACAAACAACCACAACTTCACATGTCTGGTCAAGTATGGAAACTTAACAGTATCACAGATCTTCAACTGGCAAAAATGTAAGTCACGTCCTGGGAAGTTTCTACTGTGGAGAATCTAAAAGGAAAATAACTCAGCCCGATACAGTTTAGAATTGTGCATATCGACTTGGACTCTATTTTAGACGAGCAAATAAAATGAAATAAAACATGATTGTGACATATTAGGGTCACTCACTGTACAAGGTATGACTATGTTAATAGATTAATTTTCTTTTCTTTTTTTTTTTAATGATTTTTAAAATATATATATTTTATTGATTTTGTACAGAGAGGAAGGGAGAGAGATAGAGAGTTAGAAACATCTATGAGAAAGAGTCATCGATCAGCTGCCTCTTGCACACCCCCCACCGGGGATATGCCCGCAACCAAGGTACATGCCCTTGACCAGAATCGAACCCGGGACCCTTCAGTCCCCAAGCCGACGCTCTATCCATTGAGCCAAACCAGTCCCGGCTAATTTTATTTTCTTTAATAAACATTCTAAAATTTAGAGTCCATGTAAGTGCTATTCATCAAATAGTCATCTTAGGAAGTTATTACGACAATGTTGTTGTGCTTGAAAGCACTAACATTTGTCCTTCTTAGAAACTGCCCTCAGGTCTTTGGCAGTTTCTTTTTGGGCATAGCCTTTCCTTGGTCCCATGGCGTCAGTCATTGTCTTTTGTGGGTGACAGTGTGTTTAAAGAACTATGGGTTCATTCAGAACCAAGTCTAGCGAAGGATGAATAAAAACAACCATGGACAATGCCTGAAAAAATACGTCTTTTTTGAGCAAATATCATGACCAGATACGTTAAAAATGGTAAACTTAGAGAATTTTCTTTTCTCAAGAAATGAAATCATCTGAAAATATAAAATGGAAAAGGTTGGGTTTATATAAATTTATGCATGACAAACCCATAATGGGCTGTTACAAGAGAACCCAGATACTCGAGATGCATGTCTTACTTGTATGCCTGATTATATAGAGAAACAACAGGCCTCTTTCTCACCTCCCAGCCCCACTCCTAACAATGTGTTCTGTGGCTCCATAGTAAGAAACAACACACTGAGTTTACTATACAGTGGCATATAAGTGTAGAGTATAGTATATAATGTATAGTGTGTCTTACGAGTTCCTCTTGTCTTAACTGTAGTAGAGAAGATATTTTAGATAATCTCATAGTTCATTCTAATGAATGATTTACTCTAGATCTTTCTGTCTTGAGATGGATTCTTTATTTTCCTCAATAAGATAATGAGATAAAATTTGCCAGGGAAAAATAGTTCAAATATATAACATTTTGATGATTTTATTTATAGTCCAAAATCCTCTCTCTCAGTCATCTTTATGTATTCTCAAAAATGTGTAAAAATTAATTTGAATTATATAGTAAATATTATCTGTTAATTCAGCATTACTTTTCACTTAATTTATCATTATTTAATCAATTTTCGATTATGACTGAGGTGGGAAGTAATAACAAATCAGTAATAGCAGTTTCAGTCATATTTTATTTTGGACATTATTTACTTTTGAAATATGGGTATATATGATATTCTAGGTCAGAGGTTGGAAAAATTTTTCAGAAAAGGGCCAGATAGAAAATACTTTATTTTTATAGGTCATATGGTCTCTTGCAACAGCTCAAATCTGCTATTATAGAATGAGAGCAACCATAGACAAAACGTAAGTGAAGAACATTGCTATGTTCCAACAAAAATTGTATTTTTAAAAATAGGTGGTAGGCCATACTTGGCCTGTGCATGGTAGTTTGATAATTTATAGGAAATAGAATGTAGCCCTTCAATAAAAAGGTGGAGCTATATTTAAAGATGATATTATTAGACAACCAGCTTTATCATATTTTCCCTAATAGGCCTTTTCTCAATTCTTTCTTCATGCTAAAGAGGAGGAGAATCCTATTTCAGTCTAATTCAAAAATATGAGTTCTTTGCCCTATTTGGTCTACATTCACTATGATTAATGAAGAGATGATTAAGTGTATGTGTTTATTCATTCCTTTATTCAATCATTAGGTAGTTACCACATCGCAAGCATTTTGCTAGATACTAGTGTTATTTCTATGGTAAGAGAGCTTTAGTGTATAAACACTTCAAACCTTGTTGACTGAAGGCATCACTTAGAGTCAAAGCAAATAATGCATTTGTGTGTGACCAAGGACTGACTGCATAACCCAGGCCTGCAGGGGAAGGCAGTTAGAAGTGACTGGGCTGGCAGAGGAGGGCAGTTTGGGGGTGACCAGGCCAGCAGGGGAGAGCAATTAGGGGCAATCGGGCCATCAAGGGAGCAGTTAGATGTTGATCAGGCTGGTAGGAGTGTGGTTAGGGGGTGATCAGGCTGGCAGGCAGAAGCAGTTAGGGGCAATCAGGCAGGCAGGAAGGTGAGCAGTTAGGAGCCAGCAGTCCTAGATTGTGAGAGGGATGTCCAAATGCCCTTGAGGGGTCCCTGATTGGAGAGAGTGCAGGCTGTGCTGAGGGACCACACCCCTGTGCACAAATTTTGTGCATCAGGCCTCTAGTATAATATACAGATTTAGAAATCATTTATTGTTTCAAACTTTGGGTGTGGATGAGATCACACAGGAGGACTGGGGTCAGTGGCAAAAGAATGGGACAACAAATGGAACCATGGGGAAACAATAAAATTTAAAGGACAAAAAGAGGAAGAAGAACCTTAAAAATAAAAATAAAAAAATTGAGTCACAACCAGAAGAAACAGAAAAATGTGGTGTCATGGAAGTCCAAGGTGGAAAACATTTCAATTTTTGAAATTTATCCACAAAGCTTGGTAATCAGAAATATGAGAAACAATAAGTTAGTGTTTAATATTTATTGTAAGCTACTCCAGAAAAACCTGAAGAGGATGAGCTATGAATATTCCTTTTCATTGTGTTCCTGCCCTTTCTCCAGATGTTGTTGCTAACTATTGCCCCAAGGGGTTGAAAAATAAAAGCTGCTCCTGAGCAGGAGGGACAGAGCAGCACCATATACACCGTTCTACCCACCCCATCCCCCACCTACATCCTTTCTTGTGTCCCTGGGTTCCCTCTGTTCCCTGTGTTCTGCATCAGATAGCCAGGATGATCCTACCTATTAATAATACCAAGCCACATCCACTCTCAGTTCTTTGCTGAGCCTCTTCTACCATTCCAGAAACTCTCTAGGCAGTATGTGAAAACTGTGTATCTGAAAATGAATGCAGAATGAAATCTTTAGTTGGTGACTAAGAGGTGTGTGTGTGTGTGTGTGTGTGTGTGTGTGTGTGTGTGTGTGTGTTAAGAGAGATGCTAAGAGAAAGGGAACAAGCATAACAGAGCTGGATAAGGATAAGTAAGATACATCTAGAACACAACATCAACTGATTATTAGTAATACATAGCAATATCAGCTATAAAAATGAGATACAAAGACAAGGGTGGCTTTTAAAGTATTGTCTTAGAGTTCCTTTTATGCTAGCTTAATTCAGTAAGTACAAAAGTTCAAAATTTACTTTTATTTTTCACGTTCAATATCTGACATCTGGATATCAGCTGCCCACAAGTATATATCTGATTTGTGAGTTATCAAAGAAGATGCTATCAGCTGAGTAATGGAGAGCTGTCCAGGCAAAGAAGTGAAAAATACTCTTTACAGTTCTGTCAAAATAAGAGGCATACAATGGGTATCAAGCAATTGGAAACACATTAGAACTAACACTATTCTTTTTTCCTCCACAGCTCAGCCAGCACCCTTTCCTTTTAATCAGTCCTGGCTCTGGATCTTAATCCCAGTTGGGATTTTTGTGATCTTTGTTATTGCAGTATTTTATTGGCAGCTGTGCAACAGTAAGTGCTATCCTACTATCATCCTGTAAGCCAAGCTCTATTAGTACGGTTTAGCATCTCTCTGAGATTTTAAGCTATTCTCATTTTGGGAAAGTCTATGGAAATTTCAGTGTCTCCTTTCCATGGCTCAGCAAGTTCTGTTCACTCACTAGACAGACATTTCTTGAACACCTACTATGTGCCTGGCACTCTACCAGGCAATGGAGTTAAGGAGATAAGAAGTCACTGTCCTCAAGACACTAAAGTCTAATTTAGTCCTTTCATTCCCCCTCCCCCCCAACTTTAAAATATTTTCTTGGAGACACTGAGGCTTGCTAACTAAATGAAAACATTTCTGATGTAATGTGATATTCTAATTTTCGATTCAGAATTTGAGAAAAGTCATAAATGACAAGATTGGGGGACAGGAATCATTTTCTTGGATAAGGGTAAGATGCACTAACTGAGTTTGGAAACTATAATACATAGCCACGAGTGATTTTACCAATTCTCAATTCTACAGAATACATTTTTGGATGGAAGATTAGGAGTGGTTGAGGAAAAAAGATACATCTAGGATATTTTCCCCTAAAAGTTTAAAAGTTTGACCTTACATTTATACTTCCTTTAATCTCTAATTAAATGAACTGCTAGGCCAGAGTTAAGGCCAAGTTTGCCATGAAGGAGTATCAGCCTTTCTTAGAGGAGAAATAATGTACATTGAGGGGGAAAATGGGGAGAGAAATCTACTGATTTTCTCAACCTTCAACACAAAAATGTCAAAGGTCAGAGAAAACCAGAGATTCTTTGTTATGAACAACTCAACTTATGGGTAGGATAAGAAAGGTCTGGTGGCTCAAGGATGTTTCTAATACAGACTACCCAGTCTTATCCCTCTAGTTCAGGTTTCCCATCCTCAGTACTATGGACATTCGGAACTGAATAATTATTTGTTTTAGGATGCTATTCTGTGCATTGTAGCACGTTTATCAGCATCCCTAGCTATACTCCCTTCATATCAATAGCACCCCTTGCCCCAGTAGTGACAATCAAAAATGTCTCCAAGCATTGCAAATGGCCCCTGTTGGGAAGGAGGTGGAAATCACCCCAGTTCTTAGCCAATCTGAAGGTTTGCTGAAATATATGGGCATTTTAAGGGAAACTCACCTAACTGAATTATTATTTTTATTATTTTTTGTGTTTATCTTCAAGGACCTGCTGCAAGATGTAGAGAGAGAAGAAGGAATAGGGAGAGTATCGAAATGAAAACAAGCTCCTTTATCGTCTAAGGATTTAGAGAAGCATCAGGCTGAACAGGAAATGTGAAGGTAGCTCCCTTTAGCTCTTCTCTACCATAGTGGGACATATGAGATCATGGGCATCAGGAGGCACAGGGTTTTCTTCCTCTCAGTAGCAAATTTAAGATCTTCTACTTATTACCCCATCTTCTCAAAAACCTCTTTCAGATTACTCTAAACAAATGACTGGTATCTCTCTCTTCTTTCCCTGAAATTTCCTTCTTATAACCTCCTTTGCTGTTCTATTCTGCCATCTTGAAATGTTCCTCTCTTGCCAGCCAATTCAATGTTTTTTTCATTATATACAAAACACTAAGTTCATTTTGAAGTAATATTCCGGATCTAACTCCTTATTCTAATCATCTCGTTTTCTATGTTTCCCTTAGTACTGATGGACATAGATTCATGTCATTTGAGTCACTCTATACTAACTCAGCAGCACCATCATTGATCTCTCTGCCTTTTAGTAACAGAGTCATTCTACTGATCCAACCACAGAGCCAAATTTCATAAAGAATTATTTCTCATCAGGTTGGTGTGGCTCAGTGGTTGAGCATCGACCTATGAACCAGGAGGTCATGGTTCGATTCCCAGTCTGGGCAGGTGTCCGGGTTGTGGACTCAATCCCCAGTAGGGGGCATTCAGGAGACAGCTGATCGACGATTCTCTTTTATCATTGAAAACATACCAACGTTCGCATCATGGGGGTGCTGGAAGGAGAAGAGAGGGAACAAGAAATGGAAAATCTACTTGAAAAAATAATGACAGAAAACTTCCTTAACTTTTTGAAGGAAGTTCACTTATAAGACCAGGAAATACATAGAGTCCTTAACAAGATGAATCCAAAGAGGCCCGCACCAAGATATGTCATAATTAAAATGCTAAAGGTTAAAGAGAAAGAGAGAATCTTAACTAGTTAGCTGCCATGCATCAAAATGGAAACCATCCCCACATGCCACGATATTTTGAATTTAATTTAAAAAAATCATCTGACTCTGGAGTTGAATATAAGACGTCATCTTCCTTTTCTTCGAGGCACTTGGTTAGATTATTTCTTCATCCGATGCCATTTCTGGGGACTGAACCTTATTTACACAATATAATATGCTTCAACTATAAATTCAATAATAAAATAATGATAATTTTCAATTCTACAGAAATATCAACAAAAGCAAATACAAAATAAAAATAAACCACCGACACAAAAAGCCTCAAAAACACTAAATTTTGTTGATGCTCCAAAGACCAAAACTGTAAAGAAATAATGAAAATGCATACTATATTTACCATTTTAGGTGTGAAATTCATGATAACACAAACAAATCTCAAGTGTCATAATGAACCAAAAAAAAAATCTCAGTGTCACAGTGTTTATCTCTCGCACATCTAAGGATTAAAAGCAACAAGAGAAAAAGAAACCAAGATGGCGGCATAGGGTAGACACCCGAATGCAGCCTACCATAACAAATTTGAATTTAGAACTGAAAAACAGGGGAGGCATTGCCCTGAAGCGCCAGACGGCTGGCTGAGAGGAGGCTCTGCCATCTGGGAAGGAGAGAGAAGGCACGCTGAACCTCAGGAACTGTGAAGGTTCAGAGAACTGTGTGCGCGAAAAGGCGCTGGCTTAATCCCGGTGCAGAGAGGAAGGGCCAGATGAGATTGCTGCTGGTTTACTCCCTGCATGCAGAGAGGGCAGGCCGGGCTGAGTTCGCTACTGGCTTACTCCTGGCGCGAAGAGGGCGAACAGCTAACGCGGCTGGCTTTCTTGTCCGAGAGGAAAACAGAATTACCCTATTGCTCTGATAAATGGCCCCAGACAGGGAGAGGCCAGACTGTCAGGCAGTGGGCAAAGATCTCTTGGAGGTGTGTGAAGCCAGAGGCCATTACTGCGGGACTTGGGGAGGAGCCGAAGGGAAAACAAAGTTTGTCTGCACCAACCCGAGACTCCGCCCTACCTGTGGCTGAGCACAGAAGCTCTCCCAGAGGCTGGCTTTCTCTAAGGAGGGACTTGCAGGAATCCAAAGCTTGTCTGCGCCTTTACCAAAGAGGTGCGTGCGCGCCTGCAACCAATATTCCAAAACTCTCCACGAACAGGACTTTTCTAAGGCAAGACTGACAGGGAACCAAAGATTGTGTGCGCCACCCCGAGACCCCGCCCTATTCAAGCAGTGTACAGAAACCCTCCTAGCTGAGACACTGCTGATCCTCACAGCCAATTGGCTTGGAGATCAACGCTTCCCAGTGATACTAACAATAAGCAAGGCTTAACAACAAGACTGCACACACAGCCCACAAAGGGCTACACCAAGACTGTCCACTGCAGGTAACTGGGAAGGCTGTGCTACTGGGCTCTACCAGAACACCTAGCACACAAAGCTATTCCATCAAATCAGGGAAACAACTAAAATGCAGACAAGAAGAAGGACACAAAGGAGATGGAGGAAAAGAAAAGATTGGACATTGAGTTCAAAACTACAGTTATAAGGTTATTCAACAATATCCTAAAAAAGGCCGATAAAATAAATGAGACCTATGAGGATATGAAAAGGGAGCAACTAGAAATAATAAGGGATCAACAAGAAATGAAGAAAACATTGTCTGAAATAAAAAATATTATACAAAGTCCTAAAAACAGACTGGAAGATCACAAGAATCAAGACAAAGATTTAGAACACAAAGAGCCAGAGGACACTCCTCTGCAGAAGGGAGAAGATAAGAGAATCCAGAAAGTTGAAGATAGTGTAAGAAACCTCTGGGACAATTTCAAGCGAACCAACATCAGAATTATGGGGATTCCAGAAGAGAGAGAGCAAGATACCGAAAGAGTACTAGAAGAAATAGTGACAGAAAACTTCCCCCACCTGGGGAAAGAAATAGACTTACAAGTCCAGGAAGCCCGCAGAACCCCAAACAAAAGGAATCCAAGGAGGACCACACCAAGACATATCATAATTAAAATTCCAAGAGCAAAAGACAAAGAGAGAATATTAAAAGCAGCAAGAGAAAAGCAGGTAGTGACCTATAAAGGAGCATCCATAAGATTGTCAGCTGATTTCTCAACAGAAACCATGCAGGCCAGACGGGAATGGCAAGAAATATTCAAGGTGATGAATAACAAGAACCTACAGCCAAAAATAATCTACCCAGCAAAGCTATCACTCAGAATCAAAGGACAGATAAAGAGCTTCACAAATAAAAAAAAGCTAAAAGAGTTCCTCACCACCAAACCAGAATTATATGAATTGCTGAAGGAGGTTATTTAGGAAGAGGAAGAAGATAAAGATAAAAATTATGATCAACAAATACGTAGCTATCAACAATTGAATCTAAAAACCAAGGGAATTTAACAATCTGATGAACAATATTAACTGGTGAATATAATAGAATCAGAGGTATGGAAGGGGAGTGGACTGACGATTCTCAGGGAAAAGGGGAGTGGGGGTGCGGGAAGAGACTGAACAAAAACTGTGCACCTATGGATGAGGACAATGGGGGATGGAGAAAGGACAGAGGGTGGGGTGGGAACCTGGTGAAGGGGAGCAGTTGAGGGGGGGAAGAGGATCACATTTGTAATAATCTGAACAATAAAGATTTATTTAAAAAAAATAAAAAAAGTAAAAGCAACAAGAGAAAATAAATATAAATAAATAAATAAATAAATAAATAAATACAGCAAGAGAAAGACAATTGGTTACCTATAAGGGAGTTCTCTATGACCGTTAGCTGATTTCTCAACAGAAGGGACACACTCAGGGGGCAGACTAAGTGAGCACCAAAGCCTCATTGAAACATAAGCATGTCTCCAGCATAGCAGTTCTTCCATTATAGACACAGCGAGTACTCATAGCCAATTGTCCTGGAGGTCAGTTCCTCCCAGTGACACCAAGAACAATCAAGACTTAACTACAACAAGGCTGTACACACAGTCCACAAAGGGGTGCACCAAGAGTGTCCACCTCAGGTAACTGGGAGGCTGACCCACTGGGCCATATAGGACACCTAGCACACAAAGCCACCCTACCAACTCAGGGAAGCAGTGAAAATGCAGAGACAAAGAAACGGATCATAAGCAAAAGAAATGGAGGAAAACAAACAACTGAATATAGAGTTCAAAACCATGGTTATAAGGTTTTTCAAGAATTTCCTAGAAAAGGCTGATAAATTTAATGAGACCCTCGAGGATATGAAAAAGGACCAACTAGAAATTTAACATACACTGACTGAAATAAAAAATATTATACAGAGACCCAACAGCAGACAAGAAGAATGCAAGAATCAAGTCAAAGATTTGAAATACAAAGAAGCAAAAAACACTCAACTGGGAAAGAAAAAAGAATCCAAAAATATGAAGATAGTGTAAGGAGCCTCTGAGACAACTTCAAGCATACCAACATCAGAATTATGGGGGTTCCAGAAGAAGAGAGAGAGCAAGATACTGAAAATCTATTTGAAGAAATAATAACCAAAAACTTCCCCACCTGATGAAAGAAATAGACTCACAAGTCCAGGAAGCACACAGAATCCCAAACAAAAGGAATCCAAAGAGGATCACACCAAGACATCATAATTAAAATATCAAGAGCAAAAGACAAAGAGAGAATCTTAAAAGCAGCAAGAGAAAAACAGTTAATTACCTACAAGGTATTACTCATATGATTGTCAGCTGATTTCTCGACAGAAATCAGAAAGGGAGTGGACTGACAATTCTCAGGGGGGAAAGGGTGTGGGGGTTCAGGAAGAGACTGGAAGAAATTGTACACCTATAGATGAGGACAGTGGGAGGGAGGTAAGGGCAGAGTGTGGTGTGGGAACCGGATGGAGGGGAACTATGGGGGGGGGGGAGAAACACATGTAATAATCTGAACAATAAAGATGTATTAAATTTTTTTTAATAACAGAAACAGATTTATGAATACAGAGAACATGTTGCCAGTTGCCAGATGGAAGCAGAGGAGAGAGGATGGGTGAAAAAGGTGTAGGGATTTGGAAGAACAAATTGGTTGTTACAGAATAGTCATGGAAATGTAAAG